TCTACATAGTCCTCAACGCGCATCGTGCGGTTGTCTGCGAGGACACTGACTATGGGGTCTACTAATTTTTGGACCTTTAGTCCTAGCCTCAACTTCTTCAGCGCCCTACGGCTAATATAAGTATGGGTAGCCCCTGAGTCTATGAGGGCCCCTACTCTACTCCTAAACACCTCTACATCTACTAAGATTAGTTGTCCCTTACTCTCCTTTTTCATTTTGGCCCAGGCTGGCATCCTCTCCTTTAACTCTTCTGCCACACCTGTGAGGGACGTGCCTAAAGAGACGCTAACACAAGCAGTCTCTCGACAGCTATCTAGGCACGGGCCTGCAACCTCTGCCATAGGCTCATGTGGGTTTGGAGTGTCCTGTTCGCGCGCGCTCACTTCTCCACATGACCTTGAAGTAGGGGCAGTTGCGACCCCTACTGGCGGCTGCCTCTTGACTGCTGGGCAGCCCAACGGGCCTGTCTATACTTAGGACAAAATTTAATTACGTGCGCCGGGTCACCACAAAATACGCACTGACCCATGTTCACGCGTTCCTGCCATAATTGTCGGTCCAAGCCCAAGTCTTCCCAGGGCCTGCCCTGTGGCAAACCGGGGTGCCAACCTCCTTGAGGTGCYCTTCCACCTCTTCGTTGTGGGGACCGATTACCCTGGCGATTTGACGGGGGACCTTGACCCCTACCTCCCGCTTGGCGGTTTCCCTGTCCGCCAACCCCCTGTGCGCCCGATCCTCGGCCTCCCATGGCCTGGCCCCTTTGGCCCTGGCCTCCTCCTCCTCCTTGCAGCCTCCCTCCAGCCGCGACAGCAGCGTAAGACCTCCCCTGCCCTACACTACTGCCATCATCTTCAAGGCCCCACTCAATTTGGTCATATGGGACCTCACCGGTACCACCTTCTTCTAATGTCAGGATCATGTGATCCTTGGCCTTTACTTGGCCTGAGATGGTATGATTCTTCCACTTCTTCCCCTTCTCTAAGTCCTTATGCCAGAAAGTGGTAACTGGCGTAGACTTCGACTCATACAAGATGACTTCGCGACTCAACTGATCGTATGTGATGCCGGCCTGCTGAGACTTGTCAAAGAAATGCCCACGTAGGGCCTCTGGAATGGCACGATAAAACAACTGATCCAGCTGGGGCTCAGTGACCCCATGATCGTTTGAAGCTTGTCAGAGGCTCTTATGCCTCTCGTTGGGTCAGCGAAACGCTCCTTGAGGAGCCTGAGGAATTGGGAAAGAGGGGTGACTTTAGAATATGCAACCAGGTTGTTTTCACAACCGGCCGTACGCGCGAGAGACCTGGCGAAGCTAGCCGCTTCGTCCTTCAGGTCCTGGAAGGCCACGAGGACTTGCTCCTCCATCAGGATATGCTGTAAATAAATGTAACTATTGACACTGGCATCCCARTTGTCAAAGTTCTCGTCCTTCTTCCCCCCGTACGCATCTGGGAACTTAAGTTTCACTGGGTCCTTACGGGGTCTGGCCTCTCTTTCTACAGCGGCTGCMGCTTTGGCACCCTGAATGGCGCCCTCACAAAMCTTCCCTACGYTGTCTCTCAATTGCTTGACTTCACCCCCAATATGGGTGACGATTTCGCGCGCAAAATCCCTGAACCCGGGCCGCATGGCACTCAATGCTACATCCTGGCTCCAGCTTGCCTGRCGCTCCTCCATCCAGGCCTTGCTCAACACCTCTAAATAGCCCAGTACTTTGTCCCACTTGGCCTTATCATCTGGCTGGGCCAGCACCTCCGCTCTACACTCCTGCACCTTTGCCACTGTGACGGTCATCTTATTCACTTCTTCTCTCCTCCTCTTCTTCTCCCTCTTCATTCTCAACTTCCATGCTAACTTTTGCTCGTCTTCCCTCTCTCTTCGTTCCATTGGGTCTTTCATGGCCGCTAGCTCAGCGGCCAGCGCAGCCTTCTCATCCTTAGTCACATAGGACTCCGCCTCCTCGTCTTCCCCCAACGATAAATTAGCGACCCACTCGSTGATCTTCTTCTCCAGCTCAGTATCTGTCTCCCACTTCATCGTGCCACCACTACTTCCTTCCCCACTCTCAATTCTCATCCTCTCTTTCTCTTCTTCTGCTG